AATGTATACAAGTTATACAACATAGAAAAGTAGAGTAATTGAAAAATGCAATAAGACAATGAATACAAACATTTGAATGTATGAAATTGTACATTTTATGAGACATATATGTGAATATTAAAACATAGCTAGATTGATTATTGGGTGCCCACCAGAGAACCACCATTTAAGATAATAAGTTTTGAATGTTTGTATGTTGGAAGAATTTCTTATGTTTAAAGGGAGGGAGTTCCAAAATTTTGAGCCTGAATATGATAGGGATTTTCTGCAGAATTCAATTCTTGGTTTGGGGACTATTAAAAGAAGTCTTTGTTCATAATTACGATCTTAATGATTTATTTTCTGTATTTGTAAAAAGATTTCGCATATAATCAGGGAGAAGATTGTTTAGGGACTTGTATACTAAAATGGCCTTTTTATAATTCACTCTATCAGAGAATTTCATCCAGTTTAATTCAGAAAATACCTCATCAGTAGGCGCATCAAAATCTTTATCAAGTATTATTCTTGCTGCACGTTTTTGAAATTTATACATGTCATTTAAGAGCTTCTTACTGCAATTACCCCAAATAGTGCAACAATAGTCTAAATGAGGAAGAATGTATGCGTTAAAGAACATTTTCCTAACTTGAAGATTGTAAGTTTAAATAAAAAGGGCAATAACTCCAATATTACGGCAAGGCAGAATTACGGCTCTTTTGCACTACACTTCTAATTAAAGTGACATTATGCTCATGTTTTCATAGTGAAGTTAAGCTGAATTGACTTTATTTTTCAAAAGAATTACTGTCAAAATGGTGTTTGACCAACAGTTGATATTGGAAAATACTTAGGATAAAGTTATATATCTGCCTAAAATTTAAAAAGACTGCCCCACACTTTTTATAAACTAAGCGTTATAGGTTAATTCTAATGGATATTTACAGAAAGTTCGCTTGGATCTGTGCGTTATTTATTGTTTATGCGAACTTAATAATAAAATTAAAATGAATTATGGCAAACTGAAAACTTATTTTGATTTTCACCCGTTCACACACTATATACCCTTGGATAGGCATAATGTCACTTTAATATTATATTTATCTACCTACAAAGCTTCTTGTTGATACCTGTTATTATTTTTTTAATAATTTTTTATTTTTCGGACAAAATTCTAAGTGTAAAAATGAACAAAGGGCAATAACTCAAAAATTAGGCAAGGCAAAGTTACAGTTCTTGTGCACTGCACATATACACAGAAAGATTTATCGACCTACAAATTCTCATGGCGATACCTCTTGTTATATCAGACATATGTGCCGGACAGGAAAAGCGGATGAACGAAGCGGCGACTATATGGCTGCTCTTTATTTAGGAGCATACAAATCATTTAAGGGCTATAACTGCGAAGAAAACCATCGAACCATTCAAAAGCCGATGATTCCTATATGTGGCCACTTACTCTTCAGAGGTGACACAATAATAATATCTGTCATATGTTGCGGTTCGGACCGGAGTATCCGTGCCCAGGGGACCCGCCCATTGGGTGGTAAAAAGCCTTGCCAAGTTACCGCCCATGGGCGGGTTCCCGAGGGACGGATATTCCGTTTTGAACCGCAAACATTTGTCAGATATTTTTTCTTGCATATTCTGACATATTATTTCATATTAACACCAATATGATATATGTTCATGGAAATTAGTCATTTCATCTATAAATATTTTCTTACAATAGCGTATAAACTTACAACTTAAATAACAACAGCAAAATGACATCATTTTAAGCACATATTTCCCTTTTAAAACGACTTCATTTTAACGCGGTTCATTCATAAAGTGCGCTAAAATCACGTTGTTTGGCAAGCGACTTATCTGGCACCCCCATGCCAGATGAAATTTCGGGCATGGTTAAAACTCACGGAAACGCCAGTCTGCTATGCAAGAAAAAGAAGTTTTAGTAACAAGTAATTTTAGAGGAGATAATTATTGAAATAGTGGTGCTTGTGTTTTTTCTTACATATGGTTCAGGCGATGAGCATTTATAATAATAAATATACAACTGCACAAACATTTTAACAGCTAAATTACAATACAGCATAAACTGTTTCAAAAATTGAGGTAGGTAACAATTTATAACAGGTATGAATCATATATAATTCCTAAATAGCGAGGTATTTGAAAATATGTACTGTACACTTGTAAATGACCATCAAGTCTTAACAATACTTAGTGTTCTTTGCTAAATCTAACTTTTTACATAAGACAAGTGAAATGTCACATGAAATTTCTTCCCATTGTGGTTTGTGAAACTGTAAGGTTATAATGTGTATGATACTACTTTTTCAGGTTTGTAAGGATTACGTCATAGATCTTGTGTGTAACAACTTGGATATTTATCTTCGGTTAAACAATGAAGTCTGGAAGATCTGAAAGACAGAAAAATTGTCTCTATCAATATTAAACATGTCAGACAAACATGACAATAGGGCCATCAATAGTCCTGAAATCGCTCACCTTAATATAAAATATCTCCATGACAAGGAACAAGGGGGGGGGGTAGGTTATGTCACACCAACACAGTATAGGTCATCTGGTTCCAGCTTTACTGGTGGAGGAAGACCTCAGGTGCTCTTCCGTGCATTATTTCAGGCACGAACGGGCACCTGAGTAAAACCACCGACATTCCGTAAGGAACAAGTCATATCAGAAACTACAAGAAAAGCATTGATGCAAAGCATCAAAGGGCGTCCAAGCAAGAAATACAGCAGGTGCAGATGAACTAGTAGATATATGATGACAAGATATTCTTATAAACTTTTCAATGGTTCATTGGTTTTTACCAGAATTGTATATCACTTATGAATGAACGGACGAAAGACATTGTTCATTACTTATAACTTTGATTGGCATGCTAGAAATTAGAATATTACTTGTTATTTCTTTATGATCTAGGTTATTAATAGCAACGGTTATACATGTATACAATCATTTATAATCCATATGTGTAACGCATGATCAACACCACACTTGTGTAATTGTCCCTTATTATGTTATCGCTATTAGCGAAGACCCCCTCTTAAGGTATCTGTTCACATTTAGTAACAATATGACACTTGTTATATTACCATGTTGATCATGTTGAGCATAATTGTTTATTATACAATAATTGTAATATTTATTTTAATAAAAAAAATACAGATTTTATGAATATTGTTTTCTTTTCTTTTTTTTGTGTTTTATGCGCTATTTTAATACAGAGTTTTTACGTTTACTACTATTTTAAGAATTCAATTTTCATATTGACCGACGATTATAAGTCAAAACTTAACTGGAAAGGGTCAGTAAACTATGGTTAATCTTTCAATATATAATATTGTTTATTCTTAAACCATATACATGTACATTTGTATTTTTCTTTATCATTTTTTAAATTATCAATCAATTAAATAATTCATAAAATCTGATTTGTAACTTTGAATAATTCCTCGGCATCTTACTAAACACGAATATCAAATTAAATAAAATGTTTCAAAGTTGATAGTGTCATATTAATGCCATAAAAATGTACATTTTTTCTCAATTATTGTACATATTTATTGTTTTGATCTCATATAGATAAAATAAAACATGCGATTTGTGTTTTTTTTTCGAATTGTATGTTTATGTATAATAATAATCAATAAATTTGAGAGTTAATCTGTGTTTAATAATTATTGAAACCAAACTAAGTGACAAACATTCATTTTGAAAAAAAGCTTATTTATCTGTAAAGTATTTGTTCTGTTCTGTAACGATATCAACATCATCTACTCCAAAACCGGGAGAGACCGGGCAATAAACGTGTGGTACTATTCGCCGGTCACTAGTAAATCCCGGTCAGAATAGACCAGGAGAGACCGGGAATTGCTGATAGGAGTACATCCCTCTATAAATAGATTTTCGGAATATTTAGGTCATCAACTCATCATTCTATTTACAGTTTTCGGGATAACATACCATAATAACCCACTGTGTACTACAAAATGATAAATAAAAATACCCCGAAGAGCGCGATTTATTGACGGAAAAGGTGATTTCATTTGAAAATGTTTGCATTGCGAAATTTATTAACAATCTCCAGTTTGCTATTCATTGTACATATCGCGACTAATTAATAATCAAGCACCCTCATACAGATCGGAATGATCGGCTTTTATTATGAACAACTATAAAAGGCTCGAGAAGTTGCTGTCGCCCTTTCACAAAATCTGATTTCATTCCATAAAAGGCTGTGTGTCTGCGGCGCTTCGGCGCGGACGCCAATAAACAAAAGCAGATATCTAAATCTTTAATTAATATCACAAAATTCATATTTGTGTCTGACATAATTGCATATGTGATTGAAAACATTACTCAGGTTGCTACTGCTATGGGAAAACAACAGTTCCAAAAGAAGTGTACATATAAGGAAAATCAATGACACCCTGGGTGGGGCAAATTTTGACCCTAGACTTTTATTTGAGCAGTAGACACTCACTAGAAGATGTTTCATGCTAAATGTCTATTTTTAGCTCTAGTTTTTTAAGGTTTTCTTAAAAGAAGTTTATTTTTTTTGTTTTTACTATATCATACAATGAAAATCAATGTCCCCTCCCATTGGGGTGTGGCCAATTCTGACCCCATGGCTTTTATTTGCAGACACTCGGTAGACTATCACTAGAAAATGTTTCATGCTTTATATCTAAGCTCTAGCTTTTTGATATTCTTAAAAGTACATTTTTTAAGTTTGTATTATAATTAAATAATGAAATTATGACATTTTAAACAAAATTCAACAAGCAATTTAATTCGTTGAATTTATATCCCCCGCCGAGTACTGGTTATTATTAACACAACAACTGAAGACATAAGGCTTTATTTATATATTAATCATGGCATAAACAGTAATATTCTTTGAACTTGATAAATAATTAGGGCAATAACAAAGCCATAACTTTGTGTTAAATAGTAAAATCTGGAAATACCAATGAGATGTATGCATACTACATAACTAATCAAGGGCCATAAATCTGAGTTATAAGTATCTGACTGGAACAAGGCGACTATATGCACATATCCTCCTAGTATCCCATAAAGTTTCATTGAATTCCAGCCAGTAGTAGCAGAGAAGTAGCAAGGAAACAAATAGTTTTCTATATGGATACTGCATAACTAATCAAGGGCCATAACTCTGAGTTAAAGTGTCTGACCGAAACAAGCCGACGATAGGCGCATCTCCTCTTGGTATTGAAGGTTCCCACAAAGTTTTGTTGAATTCCAGCCAGTAGTTGCAGAGAACTACTCCGGAAACGATTTTTACTCCATTCGCATAATGCATAACTAATCAAGGGCCATAACTCTAAGTTAAAGTGTCTGACCCGAACAAGCCGACGATATGCGCATCTCCTCTTGGTATTGAAGGTTCCCATAAAGTTTCGTTGAATTCCAGCCAGTAGTTGCAGAGAAGTAGCGCGAAAACGATTTTTACTCCATATGCATACTGCATAACTAATCAAGGGCCATAACTCTGAGTTAAAGTGTCTGACCGGAACAAGCCAACGATATGCGCAATTCCTCTTGGTATTGATGATTCCCATAAAGTTTCGTTGAATTCCAGCCAGTAGTTGCAGAGAAGTAGTGCGGAAATGATTTTTACTCTATACGCATACTACATCACTAATCAAGGGCCATAACTCTGAGTTAAAGTGTCTGACCGGAGCAAGCCGACGATATGCCCATCTTCTCTTGATATTGATGATTCCCATAAAGTTTCGTTGAATTACAGCCAGTAGTTGCAGAGAACTACTCCGGAAACGATTTTTACTCTATATGCATACTACATAACTAATCAAGGGCCATAACTCTGAGTTAAAGGGTTTGACCGGAACAAGCCGACGATATGCGCATCTCCTCTTGCTATTGATGATTCCCATAAAGTTTCGTTGAATTCCAGCCAGTAGTTGCCGAGAACTACTCCGGAAACGAAATTCGGACGGACGGATGTACCAAAATTTGATGTTTATGAGGCAAATGAGCTCATAAACGTCCATAAGCAAAATAAGCTCATAAAAACAAAAACAAAATAGCTCTTAATTTGAATTTTATGAGTTTATGTTCTTTATTTAACTACGGAATGAAGCTCATAATAATCAAATGTTGGCTCGGACAGACGGACGGAAGGACAACGCCAAAACTATAACCCCCTCCCGATTCCATCGGCGGGGTATAATAACTTGACTTTGTCGGTCAAGGACTCAAGGTCATTAAACACTAAAGGTCAAGGTCAGTTCAACCTAAAGAAGGTCTTTTCCAAAACGTTGTTTTGTCAAAGTCTGAAGATAATCCATTCAATAATAGCAAAGTTAAAGCCACTAATAGCAAAAATCAGCAAAAACAAGAGGGTCCAGAGGGCTCTGGATCGCTCACCTGAGAATAGGTCTTAAGGTCAAAGTGTAGCCCCTTTGTGTGTGTGTGTGTTGGGTTTATTTACCCTTGCCATTGGTATATTATAAAACCATATGGGCGAGTATATGCTTCATTTATAATCGGGAAAAAACTGTACTTTATTAAATAACTGCATATGTGGCTAGTGAGAGCCATATTTCCTGCCCCAAATCGGCAAAAATTACCGTAGATGGAGCCCGAAAAAAGGTGGGATTATATCCCACACTTAGATTAAAAACTGTATTTAAAATTTTGACTTAAATTAAAAATTGGGGAAGACGCTTATACACGTACACCTATATTAGGACAAAAAAAACCGTAAAGATTGCTTATAATCTGGTGCAATTCATATTTGTAGTATATAAATAGTATTAAAAGGGGGGGGGGGGGAGACGCTTATACGTGTACGCCTTTCTATAACAGGCCAATGCAGTAAAACACTTATATTTCTTTGTTTTGTACTTTTTTCATATATCAAGAAGTTTTATTTTAATTAACCTTATAGCAACAAGCCTGTGAACAAATTTTACACCTTTCAATATGGCCATCATATTGTATAACTTCTTTTCGGGAGAACAATGCAGAAATGATTTTTTGACAAATAACGCCGAGCCACGTTTAGAAGGTGAATTTTGATTGGCCGAAAAATTATGCAACATGTATGGCTAATTTAGGTGAAATGGAGTATATTATTGGTTGTTATTAAAGGAATTTCATTGGCGCATTTTACTATCCTATTTTGCCAAAGGTGTCTATTAAAGGCCAAACACGACACCAATGTACTGTAATATAAAAACAAAGCAGGGGAATAGTACTGATATAATTAGTACATGATCTCATAAGAATAACAATGATATTCAGTTATTATATTGTTATTCTAAAATCTCTATAGACACATACAAAAAGAATATAGAGAGATATGAAAATTTACAACCCTAAAATGGCTAACAATAAATTACTTGTA